GTAAAGTTTGGAGATCCTTATTCATCAACATGTTAAATTTTACTTTCCTTTTAATTGTTACTGTGATCAAGAAGTTTTAAATAATATAAATATCATAATCTTAGGCAGGGAACAGCAGAAAAAACTGTACTTTGCAACTATAAGAGGACTATTTTATCAAACGTTTATTCAAGAGATCCTTGGGAATTTACAGTAAGATCTCCACAGCATTGTGTAGGAAGCTTTGGTTTATAGGTCAAAGAAAAATAATGAAATTGAAGGCAATGTAAAAACTGAAAAATTGTAATAGGAAGAATGATTTAAGATGGGTTTGTAGAAAACAAACACTCAAAAAATAAATTAGATTTCCTGCTTTGCCAATAGAACATGACTAAATAAGTTACAGCCTTACATGGGAAGGAATGACCTCCAAAGATAATTACTTCAAATGATGTATCAGAACAGATATATTATTATATGCTGAAGGTTCATGCTTTTGTGTTCTTGGCATACCTATATAATTAAAAACTATGTCTAATGTTTATATAAGTTTTTGATCATTCTTGAAGAAGAAACAACACAGTTAGGAACCACTGAGTAGAGTAGGTGCTCCAGGAACTTTCCCTGGTGCTTCCCATACCTGTTCATTTATCACAGACCTCTGAGAAAAAAATCCATTTAGATCCTGTGTTACAGCTGAAGCTCATATAACCTAGAAACTTGCCCAATTACAGTTTGTACCACCATAACTAGAAGCAGAATGGTAATATATGTCAGGGTCTAATTTGATGTTTAGTATTCCTAAATTGCATGCTAAAATCCTGAGTTTCCAAAGCATTTTTAAAATGTCATTCTATTTGATTTTCATAAGAACCATGTAAGTGTAAGATTTGTTTAAAAGGAATGGGTATCATCAAGTTGGTAGTGTAGCTCAGCTGCAAGAGTGCTTGCCTACCACATATTAAACACTAGGATTGGTTTCCAACACGTGGAAATCCAGGTATGATAATGTATGCCTGTAACCTCGGCCCTTGGGAGGTAGAGGAAGGAGAACCAGAAATTTAAAGTCTCATAGTTAGTTCAAGGGAAGCCTGGATACACAAGACCCTCCAAAGAGTGAAAAATAAATAATTATCATCATTTTAAAGACAAACACCACTATGAAAGCAAATTAGATAATCTGAAATTTTGCTTTTACATTTGTGCAAGAGCTAATTGTTTTGAGTTGAAGCTTACATTTCAAATGTCAAAAGAGTACTTTCCTCATATATATTACTTTCTAGTAGCACAAGGATGGGAAATGAGAGGTTACTGCATTGAGAACTCCGTCAAGGTCTCAGCTAAACATTCATTCAAAACAAGTGCATATTGACAATTGTTTGGGCTGTGTTGATTCTGCCGTCATTTACCACAGGGATCCTCAAGCCCCATAGAAGAACAAACCTTGACTAGATGGTTTCTGAGTGTTTACTAGGTCCTGTGTCAAGACAATCCAAAGCTTTGAAATGCTGATTTTCCAGAGATGCTTCAGGAAGAGTTTATGGAAGTAAGCTAGATTATAGGAGGACAGTTGAGAATTCAAAGAGGAGGGTGCTATCTGATGGCAGTTCAACTCCAGAAAGTTATGTTATCAGGGAACCCCTTCTTTCCTTGAGAAATAGTGCAGGTGTTACATGGGGTTAAATACATTTTTTTTAAAAATCTGTTAAAATTACTATTAATATTAATTTTAACTTAAGTACTATAAACATTCCTTCTGATATTCATTTTCTAGTGCTGTGGAATTTAACAAGTTGTTAATTGGTATCTGTTCAGCTCCTCCTTGGTGCTCTGGCTGCCTTACACAAAAGTCCCATCAGACAAATGGCCAGACTATCCTTATGGCACAGCATATATGTTGAAACAGTCCTCCCTTGTAGATACTTTAAGGAAACTATACAACAGTTACAGTTGACGGTGCCAGTTCTTGAAGGATGAAGTCCAACTAGGTCTGTTTTAGTTTATGCTGGACCTTTTGCTATCTCAACCCTTGGTGAAACTTTCCAACATTTTGCATGAATTACTTTTCTGTTTCTGTGATTAAAACGTACCATGACTGACCAGAAGCAACGCAGATAAGAAAGAGCTTATTTTGTCTTCTGGCTCAAGAGGGAGAGTCCATACTGTTGGGAGAAGCTTAGAGCAGAAGAGTGAAGCAGGGAAAGAAAAGAATCCCATCTGGGTATGATGGCACACACCTTTAATCCCAGAACTCGGCAGGTAGATGCGAGTAGATCTCTGTGCATTTGAGGCCAGCCTGGTCTATAGTTTCAGGACAGCCAAGGTTGTTACATAGAGAAACTCTGTTTTGAAAAATCCAAAAGAAAAAGGAAAGAAAGGAATCCCATCTGACTCATTTGAAGCATTATAACTAATGTCATCTTCCTCTACATCCAAAGATTAAGAGTCAGCAGGGAAAATTAAATTTAATATCACCAAACAACTCTTGAAAAACTAAGAAGAAATAAATGTAGTCTGTAATCTCAGTTCTTTAGGAGAAAGAAGCAGGAGGATCAGGAGTTCATGAGTTGCTTGTTTCAAAAATCCTGTAAACCAGAGAAAAGGAAAACCCCAAACAAACAAAAATAAATTTCAGAAAAGGAATTGTTTCTCATGAATTGCCTCACTTAATTCTCATATATCTCTGAGGTCAGATATTAGCATTATTGTTTCTCACAGGACAAAAATAAACCAGAATGTACATCTATAGCTCCATCTACTCAGGAGGCTGAGTTGAAAGGTTGCTTGAGGAGTTGAATAGTAGCATGATCAGTAGAGTCTACTACATCTCAAAGCTAATAAAATAATCACACTCACTCAATGAACATGCATATATACCATATACACAAACAATGAATAAATGAAAAGCAAATATATGCCTCACTAAGCACTTACATTGTTTTTTAATATTTTTTTTCTGGAATCACAATCATGGAACCTGTTTGAGCTAGGTCCTCTGCATGCATGTTATGGTTGTATAGTTTGGCGTTCTTGTGGGACACTTAACAGTGGAAATTGGGGGGGAGGGTTCTCTGACTCTTTTGACTGCCTGCTCTTGGGACCCCTTTTCTCCTACTGAATTGCTTTGCCCAGTCTTACTGTAACTTATGCTATGTTCTGTTATATGCCTGGGAAACCTACTCTTTTCCAGAGGAAAATTGAGTAGGAGTGGATCTAGGGGAGAGAGAATGTCTGTGGGAGGTGCTATATGGAGTGGATGAATGCAATGTATGAGAAAATAAACTAAAAAAAATAAAAAATATATAAAGAAACTATAGAATTAAAAATTCCATTAGATTTTTATGCCCGTTTAAAAACCAAGACAGTAAGTATCTCTAGCGTTCACACAGTTAACTGAAAATACTTTATCCTAATAAAATTGCTGTTGGTGGATAATTTCATCAGTCAGTTGGTTTAGCTCATAGTTCTGGAGTCTGACAGACACTGAGATTTGTTTGGCTTTTGTGGGGGCTTCAGGGAAAATAACACACTGGCAAAACTACATGTAAGAGTATTAATGGTGCAGCAAGTTCACACTCAATCAAAGCAATCCAGTGTCTTAGAAGTTATTCAGTCCTATGATATTTGACACAGTCACCCAAGACAATAAAGATCCACTAGTTGGGAAACAGTCTCCATAACTTAACTATCTTCTAATACTCACTACTTATTAATTGTGCCACCACCATTCCAGTGCTGCACTCTGGTGCAAGCCTCCTACACATAAACCTTCAGGCTTGACCATTCATAAAGTCTGCCTTCACTTAATAGTCTATTGACTTTACAAATTGTAATGTGCAGAAACAGACCAAAAGAACCTTCTTGTTCTTATCTCTGCTGAAAGTGTCAGGGTAGCTTCCCCAGAGAAGACAGCATCTATTCTGAAAGATGGCAGTTCTTCCTAATCCTAGTTTTGATGTATCATGGAATATAAAGTTGTCTTCAATCACAAATCCCTCATTTGACTAGAACACCAAAGCATATTCCCTCTTTGTTAATGATTCCCAGATGTTATATTTATGTCTCAATTCCCCCAGTCCCCTCTTGACCATAACTACACAAGTCAGAGAGTAAAAACACCATTTGCTATATCCCCTTTCTACCTCATTACCAGAATCTAGCTTGCTCACAATTTGTTGTTCATCTTGACTGTAATACATAAGCAATGGTCCATCTATGGAACCAACTATGTAAGCTAATGGAAAAGCAGGCTTAATACGCATGTTGTTCTAATGGTTCTTTTTCCTTGCATGGAAAAGTTTATCTAGACATTCAAATGGAGTCTCAGCTACAGAAAAATTTCTCGTTTCACTATTCCTTGTACAGTGGTCAAAATAACCTGAGCAGAGAATTTGCTGCCGTGCTATAAACTGTTCATATGTTCTGAGGTACACCCACATCTCTCTTTAATTTGGCTGATCTCTAAGGTTCTTCTGACATTTGAAACTTAGCATCTTGTTCTCCTTTCTCTTCATTATATTAATTTTCAATTTCCCAAGCTGAATCACATTTTAAAGTCCTTGTTAAAGCTCTTCTAGAGCCTTCCCGTCTCTTAAAGTTTTGTCTCCTTTTCTATTTTATATCATTTTAAAGCTTATTAGATTTATTTAAGAATTGCTGTAGAGAAAATTGGATTCTGCAGGTAAAGCCAGTCCGATTTCCACACATTTTTAGATCTTCTGGCAAGGTCAAAATTTGAGAACAATTATTTGAGAATTTAAGTAAAGCCCAAGTGTTTAAGAGAAGGTGGGGCAAAGAGCGGCAGACTACCTATATAAAGCTTCTGTATATCCTGCACACCTCTGTTCAGTCTACCATGAAAACAGAAAAATGTACTCTCAAGCTGGTCACATAGCTCACACTGTTATTTTTATATTTACAAAAAAGGATGGTGTCTTAATATCCAATCAGATTAGTCGTCCTATGAATATGTCCTCAATGGGGTGCTCCACACATCTCTAATAAAAGTCAGTCATGTCTCAATGACCTGCATTTTCATCATTTCGAAACCGTGAAATGCACAGGGGTTATGCTTATCTTCTCTGTATCATTCCAATTTTAGTTTATGCACTGCTGAGGGAAGGGAAAGAGATAAGAACCCCTGAGAAAATTGGGAGTGGGGGGGAAGGGAGGGCAGAAGTGGGGGAGAGAAAGAAAGGGGCGAAAAGAACACAGGGAAATGGGATGGCTGAGTGGGGGAAGAACAGAGAGGGAGAGCAAGGAAAGAGATATCTTGATTGAGTGAGCCGTTATGGGGCTAGCAAGAAACCTGGCACTAGGAAAATGCCCAGGAATCCACAAGGATGACTACAGCTAAGACCCTAAGCAATAGTGGAGATTGTACCTGAACTGGCCTTCCCATGCAATCAGTTTGATGACCGCCTTAATTGTCATCATAAAAACTTCATATAGCCACTGATGGAAACAGATACAGAGATCCGCATATAGAACTGGGTCGAGTTCCCAGAGTTCAGTATAAGAGGTAGAGGAGCAAACAATATGAGCAAAGGGGACAAGACTATGGTGGGGATACCCACAGGAACAGCTAACCTGAGCTAGTGGGAGCTCACTGACTCTGGACTGACATTGGGGATCCTGAATAGGCCCAAACTAGGCCCTCTGAATGTGGGTGACTGGGACGGTCTGTGGAGCCACTCACAGTGGTACCAGGATTTATCCCCAGTGCTTGAACTGACTTTTTGGAGTCCATTCTGTTTGAAGGGATACCTCGTTCAGCCTACATAAAGGCAGTAGGTCCTTAGTCCTTCCTCAAAATGATGTGCCCGAATTTATTGACTCCGCATGGGAAGTCTTACCCTCTCTGAGGAGTGGATGTGGGGTGGAGTGTGTCAAAAGTGGGGGTTTCAGGAGGAGGGGAGGGATAGGGAACTGGGATAGGTATATAAAATGAGAAAAGATTGTTTAGAAATTAATTAATTAAAAAATATTAAATGCTATATCCTCATAAATATTTTAGACAAGATGTCCAAACTGTGCTTGGAGTAAGAATTTTTCTGATTACAGCTACCACTCTTTGAGGAAATGTTTAGGAAAGCAGCATTCAAAGACATCACTAGGTTCCTCTTGAAAGAAAGAAGAGGGCTGGAGCGATGGCTCAGAGGTTAAGGACACTGACTGTTCTTCCAGGGGTCCTGAGTTCAATTCCCAGCAACCACATGGTGGCTCACAATCATCTAAAATGAGATCTGGTGCCCTCTTCTGGCATGCAGGCATACATGGAGGCAGAACACTGTATTGTATATGTAATAAATAAAATCTTAAAAAAAAGAAAAGACTCAGTGAAATTCATTATAATTTACTTGTTATGTAGAGGGGCAGCCTTTTTTTTTCATAATTCAGTCATTCTCTAACCCCTCCCCCCTCTGTGTATCATTTATAGAGCTTAACTATGCTTTATATCACGTGGCAGTTCAAATTGGGTTTTCCTCATTAGGTTGCAGAATGAGGACAACAAGGACAATATTTTTTACCCATTAATTTTTTAGTAGATAGAGAAAGTTTACTATTTGTCTATTTTTATCTAGGTTTTGTTGGAATAAATTTGACAATAAAATTTATAGTAAACAATGTGATATTTTGATCAATTTACATATGGGAAAATGACCACAGTCAAAGTGATTAACATACTAATTCACTCAAAGCATTTCGATTTCTCTTTGTGGTGAAGTATTTTATGTTAGTTTGCATCATAGTTTTCAGGGACACATCACATTGCCAAAATTTATTCTCCAGGTTGAACTGAAACTTTACAGAATTTAATCATCTTTTCTTCATTCTCCTTTCAACTCCAGTGTCTGGCAAGTCTGCTTTCTACTTGGAAGAATCTGAAGACTTCAGGTTCTACAGGTAAGTAAGATCACGTGACTTCTGTCTTCTATGCTTATGTTACACAATTCTTTCATGAAAATGATAGGCTTTCCTTGGTTGAAGGATAGAGCATACCATTTGCATACACACCCTACATTCATCAATCCACTAATTAGTTGTAATTAAAGGGCAAATGTGAATTATGTTCCAGTGGCTCTGGGAGGGCAGATACCTCTTTGGTATATTTTCATTCACTATGAACTGAGGGGTGGGATTCCTAGATCATGCAATACTTTTAAATTTTTGAAAAATTGCAAACTGTTTGAAAGTTTGATTTTTATCATTTGAAATGATGTGTATGCATGAATGTGCCCATGAAGGCTGGTGCCTGGAGAACCTAGAGGGATCAGTTCCCTGGAGCTGAAGATCCAGGTGGGTGTGAGCCATCAAACATGGATGCTAGGAACTGGGGGGTCTTCTAAAAGAGTAGTAAGTGCTCTTAACTGCTGGACTTTCCCTCCCTGAATTCTACCTTGTTTAAAATAGTAGGTTCAGCAACTTGCATACACAATGACATTCTGGGCTGTACTCTCCTCTTTACATCTTTGCCAAAACTTTGCTTTTATTTATTTACTTTTGTAATAGACATTCTACCAGTTGTAAATTGATATCATTGGTTTTATTTGAATTTCTCAGAAGATACTTGATGTTGATGATGCTTTTCATATTCCTGTTGGGAATCTGTATGCTTTCCACTGGGATTTTTAAAATCAAGTTTTGCTATTATTGCTGTTCTTAAGTCGTTTCATGTACTTATGAATTTTAAATCTATCAGATATATAACTTGCACATATTTGTTGTAATTAAAAAAAGTGGCATGAAAGAGAAAGACACCCTGCAACAGAGCTTAGGTAGAGGGGTTTTTATTAGGGGAAAGTGAACATAAAAAGAGGGAAGGAGGGGGAGACTGGCCTCTGGGGACAGGACTAGGAGAAGAGAGAGGCAGAGCAGGGAATTGGGGGAGTGGGGAGAAAGAAGCAACAGATAGACAGAGAGAGAGAGAGAGAGAGAGAGAGAGAGAGAGAGAGAGAGAGAGAGAGAGAGAGAGAGATAGGAGGTATGCAGGGCCCTTTTAAAGGGGAACTAGTGAGAGTGCACAGGAGGTGCTCTTAGTGGCTACAGCTGAGGATGTATACCCCAAGGTCAGGCTAGTATGGAGGCCTGAATACCAGCAATATTTCCTTCTATTCTTTCTCTTCAGTTTGTTGATTGCTCATTATTTTCTTTGATGAGCAGGAAGACATTGATTTGTTGTAATTAACCCTATTTGTATAATTTTGCTTTTATTGCTTCATGCTTTAGGGTTATATAAGAAATCAAAAATATATTTGTCTTTAATTTATTTTTAGTTTATTTATGAATATGGAATAAAAGAGCACAATTTTATTCTGCAATTTTCTTAACAGCATTTATTGAAAATAATTTTTTTATCCCTGTGAGAGTACGTAGTGCCTCTGGTGATGCATAATTGATAAGGGTATATTTATCTTAGCTCTCTTCATTTTTTTCTCTTGGTCTTACTTAATGCCTTCTTTCTTGTTAAGCTTATTGTTTTAAAAACTTTATCTCTGTAATATATTTTAATGTTAGTTCAATGCCTCAGACTTGTTCTTTTTGCTCAAAATTATATGGACGATGCTTGTTTTTATTGTTATTATTTGGTTGCTGTTTTTAATTTTGCAGTTTTACAGGAACTTTAAGATGTTTTACCTATTTCTGTGAGGACTGTCTTGATGGGAGTTGTCTTAGAACTGTAATTACTTCGGATAGTATAGACGTTTAATATTGATTTGTCTAACCTACTAATGGGTAGTATCTTATTTGTATCTTCTTAATTTCTTTTTTTCTCTGTTATGGCTTCCAGCTCAAAGATATTCCACTTGTTCAAGTTTATTCCTGAACATTTATTTCCTTAGAATTTTAAATAGCATTATTTTCTTGATTTTCCCCCAGAAATTTTGTTGTGAGTGTATAGAAATACTGTTAATTTTCAGTTGATTTTGCGTCATGTCACTTTTCTGAGTTTATTTGTTCCAACATTTTCTGGAAGTTTTTAACCACATCCTTGTAAAACAGAAATAGTTTGCTTTTTTCCACTGTTTATTGGCGCTAAGTAGAAACCTTGCTGCTCTGGACAGGGCCAAGAGTAGCCATCCCTGCCTTCCTGTGAGAACAATGACAAACTTCACACATTGGTGGTGCCCTTCCATGCCTCTGAGTATTTGGAATATAGATGTTTGCTTAAAAAATAAAGAATACCTGACCTTCTCATTACAGATTTTTTGTCCTTGCCAGCACTCATAGGGCCCGTTTTCTTTTCTCATGCATCACAGTACTTTTTTACTACTCTCGTGTATTTTTATTTTCCTACCTCTGAAGGAAAATAAATGTTGACAATGTCCATTAATACTTACAGCCTGGCAGGCTAGACATCTAACCATGTTGTTCTCATCAGCAGCAAATGAAAAGAAGCACTGGGTTTTATATACTGCTTTTTCTCTTCTTATTCCTCTCTCTCCATGCCTACCTCCCTCCTTCCTTCATCATGAACAAAGAACCATTCAACTACAAAAGAAAATCTGCAATAACCTATAATAAATGAGACCATAGAGAATTGTTATATTTGAATGTTTGTAATTTATCCATATGGCTGTTTATCGTGTAAGAATGAGCTACATGGAATGGAGAGGTGGTTCACTGGGCACAGTGTTTGATGGACAAGCATGACAAGCTAAGTGGAGATTTCCCAGCACCCATGTAAAAGTCAAGCATTGCTGAAGTGCTTTTAACTTCAGCTCCGGGGCTGAGAGTAGCATACCCAGGTATATCCTGAACTCTGCTAGCCAACCAGCCTAGCCAAATTGAACACAGTAGAGGAAGATACTCCAGCTAACATCTGATGAGCACAAGTGTTTGTGTGTGTGAGTGCAGCTGCACCCACACAGGTGCATGCCACAAACTTTAAAGGGACAATGAAAGAGAAGGAGTGGGACAGAAGAGGAGAGATAAAGTGACTGTGTCTGAATTAAGTGGGAATTTCCAATGTTTTTTACTAGGATGCATTCCTGTAATGAACACCAGGTATTATTTTATGGAATTTGTCACTATATCCTATAGATCACAAAACTATTTGTTTTCTAAATCCAGGCCAAGCATTTTAAGGGCTATTTCACTTAAGTAAATCACAAAATATAAGGT